CTCACGCTCACACATCTCACTCCTCTACGCCACACTGACTCACTCGCACACTCACACTCCTCTACCCACACAATCACACTGACGTCACTCGGCACACTCTCACTCTCACTCTATACCCACACCCCACCACACTGACTCCCATTCTCACACTCGCACTCCTCTACCCACACCATCACACTGACCTCACTCTCACACTCTCACTCCTCTACCACACCCACCACACTGACTCACTCTCACACTCTCACTCCTCTACCCACACTGACTCACACTCACACTCTACCCACACTGACTCACACTCACACTCCTCTACCCACACCAATCACACTGACTCACTCTCACACTCTCACTCCTCTACCCACACCCACCACACTGACTCACTCTCACACTCTCACTCTACACACACACCACACTGACTCACTTGCACACGCACTCCTCTACTCACACCAAACACTGACTCACTCTCACTCCTCTACCCACACCCACCACATGACTCACTCTCACACTCTCACTCCTCTACCCACACTAACTCACTCTCACACTCTCACTCCTCTACGCACACCCACCACACTCACACTCACACTCCTCTACATACCAACCACACTGACTCACTCTCACACTCTCACTCCTCTACCCACACCCCCACACTAACTCACTCGCACATCCTCTACCCACACCCACCACACTGACTCACTCTCACACTCTCATCCTCTACCCACACTGACTCACTCTCACTCCTCTACCCACACCACCACACTGACTCACTCTCACACTCTCACTCCTCTACCACACACCCACCACACTGACTCACTCTCACACTCACACTCCTCTACCCACACCAATCACACTGACTCACTCTCACACTCTTACTCCTCTACCCACACCCACCACACTGACTCACTCTCACACTCTCACTCCTCTACCCACACTGACTCACACTCACACTCCTCTACCCACACCAATCACACTGACTCACTCTCACACTCTCACTCCTCTACCCACACCCACCACACTGACTCACTCTCACACTCTACTCCTCTACACACACCACCCACACTGACTCACTTGCACACTCACACTCCTCTACTCACACCAACCACACTGACTCACTCTCACTCCTCCCCACACCCACCACACTGACTCACTCTCACACTCTCACTCCTCTACCCACACTAACTCACTCGCACACTCTCACGTCCTCTACGCACACACCAACCCACACTCACACTCACACTCCTCTACCATATACCAAACCACACTGCTCTAACTCTCACACTCTCACTCCTCTACCCACACCCACCTACACTAACGCACTCGCACACGCCTCCTACCCACACCACACCACACTGACTCACTCTCACACTCTCACTTGCCTCTATTACCCCACACTGACTCACTGCTCACTCCCTCTTACCCATCACCCACCACACGGACTCACTGTCACAACTTCTCACTTCCTCGACCCACACCCACCACACTGACTCACTCTTCCCACTCTCACTTCCTCTCCCACACACTAGACTCACACTCACACTCCTCTACCCACAACCAATCACACCTGACTCACTCTCACACTCACACTCCTCTACATATACCAACCACACTGACTCACTCTCACACTCTCACTCCTCTACCCACAGCCCACCACACTAACTCACTCGCACACTCCTCTACCCACACCCACCACACTGACTCACTCGCACACTCTCACTCCTCTACACACTCCAACCACACTGACTCACACTCACACTCCTCTACCCACACACTGACTCACTCGCACACTCACACTCCTCTACTCACGCCAACCACACTGACTCACCTGCACACTCTCACTCCTCTACGCACACCCACCACACTGACTCACTCTCACACTCACCCTCCTCTACCCACACCAATCACACTGACTCACTCTCACACTCTCACTCCTCTACCCACATCAACCACACTGACTCAGTCGCACACTCACACTCTTCTACCCACACCCACCACACTGACTCACTCTCACACTCTCACTCCTCTACCCACACTGACTCACTCTCACCCCTCTACCCACACCCACCACACTGACTCACTCTCACACTCTCACTCCTCTACCCACACCCACCACACTGACTCACTCTCACACTCACACTCCTCTACCCACACCAATCACACTGACTCACTCTCACACTCTCACTCCTCTACCCACACCCACCACACTGACTCACTCTCACACTCTCACTCCTCTACCCACACTGACTCACACTCACACTCCTCTACCCACACCAATCACAACTGACTCACTCTCACACTCTCACTCCTCTACCCACACCCACCACACTGACTCACTCTCACACTCTCACTCCTCTACACACACCACCCACACTGACTCACTTGCACACTCACACTCCTCTACTCACACCAACCACACTGACTCACTCTCACTCCTCTAACCCACACCCACCACACTGACTCACTCTCACACTCTCACTCCTCTACCCACACTAACTCACTCTCACTCCTCTAACGCACACCCACCACACTCACACTCACACTCCTCTACATATACCAACCACACTGACTCACTCTCACACTCTCACTCCTCTACCCACACCCACCACACTAACTCACTTCGCACACTCCTCTACCCACACCCACCACACTGACTCACTCTCACACTCTCACTCCTCTACCCACACTGACTCACTCTCACTCCTCTACCCACACCCACCCACACTGACTCACTCTCACACTCTCACTCCTCTACCCACACCCACCACACTGACTCACTCTCACACTCACACTCCTCTACCCACACCAATCACACTGACTCACTCTCACACTCTCACTCCTCTACCCACACCCACCACACTGACTCACTCTCACACTCTCACTCCTCTACCCACACTGACTCACACTCACACTCCTCTACCCACACCAATCACACTGACTCCCTCCCACACTCTCACCCCTCTACCCACACCCACCACACTGACTCACTCTCACACTCTCACTCCTCTACACACACCACCCACACTGACTCACTTGCACACTCACACTCCTCTACTCACACCAACCACACTGACTCACTCTCACTCCTCTACCCACACCCACCACACTGACTCACTCTCACACTCTCACTCCTCTACCCACACTAACTCACTCTCACACTCTCACTCCTCTACGCACACCCACCACACTCACACTCACACTCCTCTACATATACCAACCACACTGACTCACTCTCACACTCTCACTCCTCTACCCACACCCACCACACTAACTCACTCGCATACTCCTCTACCCACACCCACCACACTGACTCACTCTCATACTCTCACTCCTCTACCCACACTGACTCACCCTCACTCCTCTACCCACACCCACCACACTGACTCACTCTCACACTCACACTCCTCTACCCACACCAATCACACTGACTCACTCTCACACTCTCACTCCTCTACCCACACCCACCACACTGACTCACTCTCACACTCTCACTCCTCTACCCACACTGACTCACACTCACACTCCTCTACCCACACCAATCACACTGACTCACTCTCACACTCTCACTCCTCTACCCACACCCACCACACTGACTCACTCTCACACTCACACTCCTCTACCCACACCAATCACACTGACTCACTCTCACACTCTCACCTCCTCTACCCACACCCACCACACCTGACTCACTCTCACACTCTCACTCCTCTACCCCACACTGACTCACACTCACACTCCTCTACCCACACCAATCACACTGACTCACTCTCACACTCTCACTCCTCTACCCACACCCACCACACGACTCACCTCTCACACTCTCACTCTTCTACACACACCCACCCACACTGACTCACTTGCACACTCACACTCCTCTACTCACACCAACCACACTGACTCACTCTCACTCCTCTACCCACACCCACCCCACTGACTCACTCTTCACACTCTCACTCCTCTACCCACACTAACTCACTCTCACACTCTCACTCCTCTACGCACACCCACCACACTCACTCTCACACTCACACTCCTCTACATATACCAACCACACTGACTCACTCTCACACTCTCACTCCTCTACCCACACCCACCACACTAACTCACTCGCACACTCCTCTACCCACACCCACCACACTGACTCACTCGCACACTCTCACTCCCTCTACACACTCCAACCACACTGACTCACACTCACACTCCTTTACCCACACCCACCACACTAACTCACTCTCACACTCTCAGTCCTCTACCCACACCCACCACACTGATTCACTCGCACACTCACACTCCTCTACCCACACCAACCACACTGATTCACTCGCACACTCACATCCTCTACCCACACCAACCACACTGACTCACTCTCACACTCTCACTCCCTCTACTCACACCAACCACACTGACACACTCCCACACTCTCACTCCTCTACCCACACTGACTCACTATCACACTCTCACTCCTCTACCCACACCCACCACACTGACTCACTCGCACACTCTCACTCCTCTACCCACACTGACTCACTCTCACACTCTCACTCCTCTACCCACACCCACCACACTCACTCACTCGCACACTCTCACTCCTCTACCCACACTGACTCACTCTCACACTCTCACTCCCTCTACTCACGCCAACCACACTGACTCACTCGCACACTCTCACTCCTCTACCCACACCCACCACACTGACTCACTCGCACACTCTCATTCCTCTACCCACGCCAACTTCCCATGCGACTGTGTGTGACGCTTTGACGTGTTGTGCACGTTTGTTGTCTGCACGTGTACGACACTGTGTTGTTAGTGAGTAGAGGCTGTATAATGTAAACCTTACATTCAAGGTGGGTGTTTTTGTGGGGCTGTCTTACGTGTAGTACTTTGGCACGTACAGCGGCATAGTTATTGAATGTGTGCCGCACCGACCTTTGTGCGATGCTGTAATAAGAGCAGTAATCGTGTTGCGGTCACCGTAACCGAGTTGACAATGCTGTGCTGTCCTCAGGCTGAGACGCTGATGGACGAGTGGAATGAGGACCTGGAGGGAATGGAGTCGTTTGTGTTGGAGGGCAGGAAGTTTGTGCGTCTACCCGACGAAGAGTTTGGCCACTTCCACACACACGACTGCTATGTCTTCCTGTGCCGGTACGGAGACACGGGCAAAGCCACACACACAAGTGCACAAGACATCCATTTTTGCGCCTGCAAAGACAAAGATCCCCTGTAAAGCTTCAACCAACTTTTGAGGCAAATTCTGTTAGCGAGCACCTATGAAGGCTGGCACGGTACACGAGGGGCAGTGGGTAGCCAGCACCACGCCTGGCCGTCTTTGTCTCCCCAGTGGCGATGTTAACACACCACACCAGGTATTCATTTGAGGCTGAGTCGACCTAGGGGAGGCCCAGGACCAGTTCAGATAATCGTCAATGGTATTGGCCGTGAGCGGTAATCGAACTCGGGTCGCCGGGTTCATAGCGCAGCATCCGAACCACTACACTACCTGGAACTGCAACAGGAGCTGCAATGTTTTATTCCTACCACAGAAAAATAATAACAAATGCTGACCACTACACACCTGCACAACAGCGTACATGTACAGGTGCATCTCGCTTTTGTTTCATTAACTGCTATATCAGCAGAAAGTACTGGTGTCGTGGTTAGCACCCCACCCCATAGCCAGTTATGATTCTAGGTTCATATGCACAATATCTGGTGCAATCAGTATTTAAACTTGGTATCACAGCTTGTGTGAATGTCAAGACTTGACACATTTGTGCGACATGGTGCTGAACACAACTGGCTCTCGTGAACCACGCCCGTCATGCGATAGATGCTCTGCCACAGAATGTACCCCGGCACTCTGATGCTAAACCAAGGCATCGTGTGCCTTCCGATGTGACCGCTGACGTTGGTTCATTAAAAAAAAGACAGGCATCGTTGTTCTTTTCCTTGTCCTCAAGGTACTGGGTGCCGCTGGAGCGCGCTGAGGATGGGGCGGAGGAGGAGGAGGCGGCGGGGGAGCAGGACAGCCAGATGGAGGAGGACCTGCAGTCCGTCGTCTACTTCTGGCAGGGCCGCGAGGCCTCTAACATGGGCTGGCTCACCTTCACCTTCAGCCTGCAGAAGAAGTTCGAGAGTCTCTTCCCCGGCAAAAAGATGGAGGTGAAGCAAATGTCCCCGTCAACTCTCCTTGGGGTTCATCTTCTTGGTTCTTTCGGTAAAGTCACGTAGAAGGGAAGTAATAAAATAATAAAAATAAAACATAATAAAACAATTCTCACGACGTTTCGGCCACAACGCAAGCAGCCGTCCTCAGGTGAAAACCAGGTCCGTCGAGGCGACAGAGTCTGAATGAAACAGCACACGGGCTTAGAGCATATATATAAGCTGGGCGCATTGACAAAGGAATTTGCATATCAACAGGAATTTAGCATATTTATGGGAAATGCAGGAATGTAATTAGTACTGCATATGCATGTGCATTATGCAGGATTAACAGCATCAAAGGGAGCTGCAGTTACTGCTGCTGCAGCAGTTGCTGCTGCTGCTGCAGTTTCTGCTGCTGCTGCAGTTGCTGCTGCTGCTGCACTTGCTGCTGCTGCTGCACTTGCTGCTGCTGCTGCACTTGCTGCTGCTGCTGCACTTGCTGCTGCTGCACTTGCTACTGCTGCTGCAGTTGCTGCCTTATCCATTTTAATATAACACTATGTATTATTCTACCCACCCTAATGTGTATCATACTGCTATATGTTTACTGTACAATTACGACACCATACATTACTCTGCACACTGCACCATGTCAGTGAGTGGAACGCGGTCTGAAAGTCACCGTTAACGTGAACACAATCAGTTAAGATCCGAAATGGTTTATTACGTCCTTCCAATGATTGCTAAGCCAGAATCCATCTTCTCGGTTGAAATTGTCTCTGTGTTTGTATATGTGGATCGCCTCATGAACGAATCTCTCATGATAGCCAGATGGCTTGCAGAGAACCTCTGTCTTGGAGAAGTCAATGTCATGTGAGCCCACTGAATTGTAACAGTGATCTGCCACGGCTGAGGTGTTTGTCCTACCGTGTTTCAGGTCTGCCTTATGTTCACGGATGCGGTCCGAGACATGTCGTTTGGTTTCTCCAATGTAACTGCTACCACAGAGGCAACTTAGTTTGTAGACGCCAGGGTACTGTATGTCTGGAACCACATCTTTTACAGACGGGACCAGATCACGGATTTTATGTACTGTGTTGAATCGGACCTGGATCTTGTGTTTAATCAGGATTTTGGAGATCTGTTTTGTGACCCCAGCAATGTAGGGTAAGGTGATGGTCTTGAAAGGCTCCTCAACAGGATCCTTCTTGATGGTTGGAGTGATGGCTTTGCGGATTGTGTAGTCGGAGTAACCATTAGCCTTAAGAGCTTGGCGTACGTGTTTGAGTTCACTGGAAATGTGTTCATGGTCGGAGATGCATTGGGCTCTATGATATAGAGTCTTGATGAGGGAATTCTTCTGGGATGGATGGTGGTGGGAATCCGGTTTTAGATAAGCATCCGTGTGGGTGGCTTTCCTGTAGACAGAGTGGCTCATTGAACCATCAGGTCTCCTTTTGATTAGGACATCCAAAAAGGGTAGCTTGCCATCATTTTCGACTTCCATGGTGAATCTGATGGCTGGGTGTATGGAATTGATGTGGTCGAGAAATTGGTCTAGAGCAGGCCGGCCATGTGGCCAGATGACAAAAGTGTCGTCTACGTACCTCTTCCATAAGGTCGGGCGTAGAGTGGCAGTCTGGATGGCGTCCGTCTCAAATTTCTCCATGAAGATGTTGGCTACAACCGGAGATAGGGGGGAGCCCATTGGGGTGCCCTCAATTTGCTTGTGGAAGGTTCCATTCCAGGTGAAGTATGTATTGGTTAAGCAGTGTCTCACCAGGGGGGGTACCCCAGCATTCAGTCCTTGATGAACCAAGTCTTCAATGATTGCGATGGTGTCAGGCACAGGCACCTTGGTGAACAAGGAAACCACATCAAAACTGACAAGCAGGTCGTCTGGGGACAGGGCAATCCCCTTGATTGTCGATACCAGGTCAGTAGAGTTTAGTACTGCAGAGGTGGTTTTTCCAGTGAAAGGCCGTAGGATTTCGGACAAAAAACGAGCCAGTTTGTAAGTGGGGGAGTTGATAGTAGAGACAATGGGACGAAGAGGTGTATCTTCTTTATGTATCTTTGGCAAGCCGTACAATCTTGGTGGCCTGGCTGCAGAAGGTTTCAACGAGAACTGTTTGGTCTGATCAATTAATGCGGTTGAAGCAGAAATGATGTTGTTGGTTTTGGAGACGAGGCTGTTGGTGGGGTCTCTTTTTATTTTTGTATAGCTGCCATCGTTGAGTAGTTCTTGAATTTTGTTGTTGTATTCTATTTTGTCCATGATGACAGTGGCATTGCCTTTGTCGGCTGAGAGGATGACAATGTCATCCCTCTTTTTTAATTGAGCTAATTCAAAACGCGTTTTGAATTAGCTCAATGGCAGCTATACAAAAATAAAAAGAGACCCCACCAACAGCCTCGTCTCCAAAACCAACAACATCATTTCTGCTTCAACCGCATTAATTGATCAGACCAAACAGTTCTCGTTGAAACCTTCTGCAGCCAGGCCACCAAGATTGTACGGCTTGCCAAAGATACATAAAGAAGATACACCTCTTCGTCCCATTGTCTCTACTATCAACTCCCCCACTTACAAACTGGCTCGTTTTTTGTCCGAAATCCTACGGCCTTTCACTGGAAAAACCACCTCTGCAGTACTAAACTCTACTGACCTGGTATCGACAATCAAGGGGATTGCCCTGTCCCCAGACGACCTGCTTGTCAGTTTTGATGTGGTTTCCTTGTTCACCAAGGTGCCTGTGCCTGACACCATCGCAATCATTGAAGACTTGGTTCATCAAGGACTGAATGCTGGGGTACCCCCCCTGGTGAGACACTGCTTAACCAATACATACTTCACCTGGAATGGAACCTTCTACAAGCAAATTGAGGGCATCCCAATGGGCTCCCCCCTATCTCCGGTTGTAGCCAACATCTTCATGGAGAAATTTGAGACGGACGCCATCCAGACTGCCACTCTACGCCCGACCTTATGGAAGAGGTACGTAGACGACACTTTTGTCATCTGGCCACATGGCCGGCCTGCTCTAGACCAATTTCTCGACCACATCAATTCCATACACCCAGCCATCAGATTCACCATGGAAGTCGAAAATGATGGCAAGCTACCCTTTTTGGATGTCTTAATCAAAAGGAGACCTGATGGTTCAATGAGCCACTCTGTCTACAGGAAAGCCACCCACACGGATGCTTATCTAAAACCGGATTCCCACCACCATCCATCCCAGAAGAATTCCCTCATCAAGACTCTATATCATAGAGCCCAATGCATCTCCGACCATGAACACATTTCCAGTGAACTCAAACACGTACGCCAAGCTCTTAAGGCTAATGGTTACTCCGACTACACAATCCGCAAAGCCATCACTCCAACCATCAAGAAGGATCCTGTTGAGGAGCCTTTCAAGACCATCACCTTACCCTACATTGCTGGGGTCACAAAACAGATCTCCAAAATCCTGATTAAACACAAGATCCAGGTCCGATTCAACACAGTACATAAAATCCGTGATCTGGTCCCGTCTGTAAAAGATGTGGTTCCAGACATACAGTACCCTGGCGTCTACAAACTAAGTTGCCTCTGTGGTAGCAGTTACATTGGAGAAACCAAACGACATGTCTCGGACCGCATCCGTGAACATAAGGCAGACCTGAAACACGGTAGGACAAACACCTCAGCCGTGGCAGATCACTGTTACAATTCAGTGGGCTCACATGACATTGACTTCTCCAAGACAGAGGTTCTCTGCAAGCCATCTGGCTATCATGAGAGATTCGTTCATGAGGCGATCCACATATACAAACACAGAGACAATTTCAACCGAGAAGATGGATTCTGGCTTAGCAATCATTGGAAGGACGTAATAAACCATTTCGGATCTTAACTGATTGTGTTCACGTTAACGGTGACTTTCAGACCGCGTTCCACTCACTGGCATGGTGCAGTGTGCAGAGTAATGTATGGTGTCGTAATTGTACAGTAAACATATAGCAGTATGATACACATTAGGGTGGGTAGAATAATACATAGTGTTATATTAAAATGGATAAGGCAGCAACTGCAGCAGCAGTAGCAAGTGCAGCAGCAGCAAGTGCAGCAGCAGCAGCAAGTGCAGCAGCAGCAGCAAGTGCAGCAGCAACTGCAGCAAGTGCAGCAGCAACTGCAGCAGCAGCAGAAACTGCAGCAGCAGCAGCAACTGCTGCAGCAGCAGTAACTGCAGCTCCCTTTGATGCTGTTAATCCTGCATAATGCACATGCATATGCAGTACTAATTACATTCCTGCATTTCCCATAAATATGCTAAATTCCTGTTGATATGCAAATTCCTTTGTCAATGCGCCCAGCTTATATATATGCTCTAAGCCCGTGTGCTGTTTCATTCAGACTCTGTCGCCTCGACGGACCTGGTTTTCACCTGAGGACGGCTGCTTGCGTTGTGGCCGAAACGTCGTGAGAATTGTTTTATTATGTTTTATTTTTATTATTTTATTACTTCCCTTCTACGTGACTTTACCGAAAAACCAAGAAGATGAATCCCTGCAGTCACGAAAGCTTTAAATCGAAATCTCCTTGGGGTGTTCGGCCGGCCTCTCTTAGGGGAATCGACATGTTATGGTTCTCCCTTGCAGCAGCTTGATGAATGATATTCTTAGGTTTTTTCGGTAAAGTCACGTAGGTAAACAATTTAAATTAATAAAAAGTAAAATAAAATAAAAAATCACGACATTTCGGAGGCAACACAAGCTTCCGTCTTCAGGTGGAACCGTCACAGCACGATTGCTGTATCAAGTAAGAGAAATTCCAAGAGGACCCGTCCTTGTACAGTGATACCTCGGTTCACGAACGCTTCTGTTCACGAACAACTCAGTTCACGAACAGAAAAGTTCATAAAAATATGCTCCGGTTCACGAACTCCGCTTCGGTTCACGAACAGGAGCCGCGGCCATTTTAATGCTATTTCCAGGCTGTCACATGGTCGTGACTTCCTGTAGGAAGATCGTGGAGAGAAGAAGAGACACAGAAAGAAGTACTGTGAAGACACTTTCAGTGACTTTTTGCTTTTTGGTACTGTACTGTACTACTGTACTGTACAATACTGTACTTACTGTATTGTACAGTTCACCCGTTTGAGTGCTTACTGAAGTCATCTCAAGCAAGGTTAGTGTTCTCTCTTTATACATTACTATACTGTACAGTACTAATGTGTATTGTAATTTGTTTCATATTTTTGTGCTTCAAAAACCAAAAAAAAGGTCAGAACGGATTAACCGGATTTACATTGAACCCTATGGGAAAATGTGCCTCGGTTCATGACCAATTCGGTTCGCGACCAGAGTCAGTTCACAAATTAAGTTCGTGAACCGAGGTATCACTGTATATATACTGGTTGAGGGTGGGAGGAGCCAAGGCAGGCACCTGGATCGGAGTTTTGTATTATTATTATTGTGAGGTTGGTGCGGCTGAAGCCGCTGCTAGGAATGAACCTTTGTTGTGTAGACTGGTTGAACTGGGAGGTACCAGAGTTGTTAAGGTGCGGCTGCTGTGAATGATCTAAATTATGATTTTAACATGGGAATTTTCCGTTTCAAAAATACATTGACGCAATAATAGTTATTATTGCTGTAGGAGAATTGAAATGCATTGGTCGAGGACGCAACGCACGTTCAGTTCATCATCGCCAACAACGACAATCTATTAAGTTGACCGGAGGTTGTCTGAGAAGGACAGTACATCGGTCAAACCACCATACCGCCACTCCCGCTGCGTCGCCGCTTCCCACGGACTCGTGCCGGCTCAAGTGGCGGCTCAGCAATGCGCTTGTGCCCGTGCGTGCGTCGTGATGAGTGCAGGTGGTGCGCATGACCCAGCAGCAGGAGAACCTCAAGTTCCTGTCGCACTTCAAGCGCAAGTTCCTTATCCACAGGGGCAAGCGGCGCGCCACGGAGAACGCTCTGCAGCCCAGCCTCTTCCACCTGCGCACCAACGGCAGCGCGCTGTGCACACGGTACCCTCGCCCACCCGCCTGCCCACGCTGCCTCTTGCGCGTGCTGCTGCTGCAGCGTAGGTGGCTTCAGATGAGGCAGGTTGGCTGGAGATTAGGGAAAGGGGTGGAGGTTGCTGTTAGGTGTAAGTGGAATTGTACTCGATTCTGTTATTACGTAGGCCAATGTGTTCAGGAGCTTAAATGCCAAAAGTCGAGAGGGCTTTACGCGTGAGAGTTTGCGTAGTTTTGCTCTTCCTCTATTGAAGGAGCACAGAATACAGTGGTTTGATGTATTATAATATACGTGATAGAAAGATCCCAGTAAAACTAAACAGAAAAATGCCGCCGGTGCTGCTTGAGGGTGCAGAGATGTCGTTATTAGGAAAGAATGAAGATTGAGTGGGTGCTTAAAGGACGGAGATGATAATTATGAGATGAATGTCGGCAATACCTCCTAAAGGCAAGCAGGAATTCAGTAGTGATTACTAAATATTCTCAAGAAGGTCAGGGGGGTGAGACTCACACTTGGGCACGTGTTGAGAAGAGGCAGAGATGACGCAATGAGAAGGGCTGTCGAGATGCCACCGGTGGAGGGAGCAGAGGGAGCCCGAGGCGGGCAGGGGATGGGAGGAGGCAGTGGAAAGAGAAACGGGGACGGTGCATGTGATGATTCAAGTTCAAGTTCATTTATTAGGTATAGCCCTGTGAGCCATGTGGCTCTTAAGTCTGGTGCAACCGCAACAAACAAAACATGAACACAGAACATCTTAAAGCGACAACGCGTAACAGAAACATCCTGTAATAAACCAGCAAATATAAAAAAATGTTTTAAAACGCTGTGTGTAAAAATCCCAATGTGGTGCAAGCCAACAATAACAACCATGATACAATTTAGATTAACCATATGTTTTCGAATTACCAAAATAAATATATAAAAACAATGTAACAACAGTAATCATAGGAACTGTGATTCAAAATGTAACAATAAACGATATACACGTACGACCAAATTTACAGCCATAGCTGGCAGCATGACACTCTCAGTGTATGAGAGAAGAGGTGCAGAATAGAAGCTCACGGGGAGAGAAAACCCGAGCAGCTGTTTCCCATGCAGCAGTGGGACTTGTGGCTGAGAAAGAGAAGATGATAAGAAGGCCGGTTGGTTAGGTGAAATTGTCGTCAATAATTATGTGTCCCGCTGTAGGTCCATTCAAGTGAATACGGACGCAGGTCTACTCAACTCGGAATTCTGCTACATATTGAAGGTGCGTATTGGCGCAGGCCACGCCGCTATCGTGCTTGCGGCTCTGCGTGGTCTCTGCAGAGTAACCGCAGCCATTGCTTGCCGCGGGCTGTCTGCCCGCACAACAACGTCTGTGTATGTATATTTGTTGAACTTCTTTTGCACCGTACGTAGCCAACCGTGCTAATTTGAGGTGCGGGGGAAGAACAACAAACTAAACACAAAAAGCAGTTCTCAAGAATCTTGCTTGCCGGCAAGATGAACTGCAATGTTTCATGCATACCACAGATAAAAGCGAATGCATGTATATGTGAATAATTACACTGTAATGGAGAATTTCTTACCTATATAACCTCTTGCCACGGCAGCTCTCTCGCCCACTGCATTGGCATTGCTGCTACATTGGCATTGTTGCTGCATTGGCATTGCTGCTGCATTGGCATTGTTGCTGCATTGGCATTGTTGCTGCATTGGCATTGTTGCTGCATTGGCACTCGTGCACCGCCCATGCTCCTGGTGCTGTTGATACACTTGGGCTAGGCCCATCCCCAAATCTTTATAAACAGTTTGCCTTTAGAGGCCGACTCCTTTGCCTGATGACGACTGCTTGTGTTGCAATCGTAACGTCGTGATTTGTTTTATTTTTATTTCCAGCTACGTGACCTTACCGAAAGAACCAAAGAGTATAAGAAACTATAGTCAAATGAGTTTTCCTGCATGTAAAAAACATTGTGGCTTTTAATCCCCATTTATCTCCATAGTTACTCACTAGGTAAGATCAAAGTGTATTACCTTTGAAGTGTACTTTAATCTGAACTCCCTCCGCTACACATGCCCCAGTTGATCTCTCACTGAGTGGCAGGGCCCCTCGCCCCCCTCCCTCGCCCCCCTCCCTCGCTGTATGCACGTAATAGAGCTGCACTATCTGGCTAAACCGCCGAAAACACGGTCGATGGCACATTTTCACTTCGTTAAATTATTACCTAAAAATGTGTTTTATCAGGTAAGGCCCCCACTGAGCTGTATAGCTCTTTTTCAGAAGCGACCTGGCCACAAATGATAGCTCAACGAAGTGGCTTATCACGTGGAAATCTATAGCAGACAAATATTCTAGACGCTCGTGGATTCTAAACGTGGAGGGAAAAACCGGTGGACCCGGAAAAAAATTCACGCGCCCATGGGGAGAGATTTGCATGCTCCAAATATAAAAGCGTCGGGCTCGGGATCGAACCTATTACCTCCTGCATACCGGGCGAGGGAGTTAACAGCTTTGTTCTTCAGAATAGTGGGCTTATGACGGGTTACATCGGAAGAAGGGATTATGACTGGTGGTTGAGACTAACAACGGAGTAACAGCCGAAGTAGGGAATGTGCCTGAAGTTGACAAGTGGATTGTTACATTAAAGGCCTTCATCTTACAATGGACTGATTATCACTGATGATGATGATGGTAATATTTATCTTTAATGCCAGGCATCTGAGCCATGGGATTGCTTCAGCTTGCTTCACTCACTTTAATGTCAGTGTTTAGTGCGGCATCAACATTGGACGGTGACGCGGCTTGTTGCAGAGCTTCACAGTTCAAATCCAGCGGCCGCCCTGATTCTTACTGCGGGTGTATCGATCATAAAAATTCACGGCGTCTGATTCACAGTGGCCAGTAAAAGTCCCGTGGCTTCATTCGCAAGAGTAGGCCATTGTGTGCCAGCATCACGATCCACATTTACCAAAATGTAAAGAAAATACCCGTATATTACTAATTTTAAATATTCATCACCTTAACCAAAGCGCTGTACATTAAACTAACTATGGTACAAGATGGTTGGCGAGATGAAATGAGATGAGTGGATGGGCTATATTTAAAATGAAGTGGTGGTGACGATGCGTGGAATAAACGGAGATGGAAATGTGATGAGTGGATTGATGATGGGTGGCCATGGGGAGTTGTGGACAGGGAAGGCATTAGTACGAGTGGGGAGGACAACAAGGGGAGAAGGAGGGGTGGCAAGATCCTCCCAAAAAAGAGTCGCTTGAGTCGTTGAGGCTTTCCTGGATAAACATGCGTAATAATGGACATCAGAGTAGACAAAGATGTCCAGTCTTGATGCGTAGTTCTGGCCACAGCAACCATCTGTGCGCCACGCCAGATATAAACATTTACTTGCTAAAAGGACATTTCTCAATTGCTTCTGCGAATAAACAAATGCATCTTTTTTTTTTGTCGCACAAATGCATTGCAGGTTCCTTTCAACAGCGAGGACAGCCCAGGGATTGTGTACGCCTGGATTGGCCGTGCCGCTGACCCAGATCAGGCCAAGCTGGCGGAGGAAATAATGAACACCATGTTCAGCAGCGACTACAGCAAGCAGGTTTGCTCTCCAGCTGTCCGTCGTGCCGCAGCCGCCTGTGTTTCTCGCTCTGTGGCTTTTGACCGAAGGATGCAGCCCCAGAAATACTTTACACTGTTCCGCTGGTCGGTTGTGGATAGCCCATACAAAGCAATCACAATGTATATTCATAAAAATGTATGTATGTTCAACATCTTTTGCAACGTGCATAGCCAACCATGCTAATCGGAGGTACGAGGTTCCATGGCGAATATGGAACTGGTTCACAGTTGTCTCGTTGTTCCGCCGCTGGCTAAAATAATGTGGCCGTAACGTTGAAATGTTTTGATTTGGAGGCTGGTGCTCTCAATGCAAGGTTGTGCGCATGCGTTATGGCGCTCAGGGTTTGTCCCACAAACCTCCCTGTCGTGGGCCCCCCCCCTTCCCCGCAGGTGGTGGACGAGGGAGAGGAGCCGGAGAACTTCTTCTGGGTGGGGATCGGGGGCAGCAAGCCTTACGAGGAGGATGCCGAGTACATGAAGTACGCACGCCTCTTCAGGTGAGTGCTCGCGCCGAGCGCGTGAATACCTGCTCGGGCAGCCCTGCTCTTCTGGGGCCGCTTGCTCTTCCAGGGCTGTGGCGCTCCCCTCTAATGTGGTATTTTGTGTGCTCCGTGCAGACACTGCTCGTCCACAAGGCCCGCCGTCGGATGTGGTCCGCTACAATTTTTGTTTACACAAAATAAATAAATATATTTTACTGGCCGTTAATCAACTATTCGGATTAGGCAATGAAAAGCAAGTTGATCATTGTCATGGATTTGTTTAATGAACACATTACAGCAACAAAAACATTCCTTTTTCACTCAGAAAAATGTGTTATCGGCGCACCGTTGGCCACAAAATAATCTTGATTGTTGACAGGGGCCCAGAGATGTTGAGAACCACTGCTGTAGAGGATAGGAACTCGGCTGCATTGTGCAGGGGATTGACTTTCTCATCTAAAAATCTTTTTTTTGGAGTCCACATTGAAAAATCCTTGCCGAAATATCAGCGTGTGCGAGCTTGCACTCCAGCATGTTGGTGTGAAATATGAATCTGGAAAGCTTATTAGCTGATGAATGTTTAACACCTATCCATCAATGTGACAGATCCCTAAACCTGCTCGGTTCTATTCCAACAGTGGGCAGAAACGCAAGAAACGCCTTTTTACGAGCATCGTTAACCATATGTCAGATACCACTTAAATAATTTACTGGAAGGTAATGGCTGTAATGACATTTGTTAGGCGTGGCGAATGGGGTTTCTAGCTGCTCTCGTGCCATTTGGTTGCAATTATTCGTGGCAGACAGACAGACTCCGGAGGGAGTGACATTTTAATTTGACGTAAAATCCTCATCCGCACGCTCGGCTGAAGGCTCTCATCGTCTTCGAATATTCCAGAGCTGCTTAGGATATGAAACCCAATTCATTTCTGAGCATGGGAAAAAAGTGCCTTAAAAAATCATTCATAGGGCAACTCGGACACTGCACAGACTCGCTCTCGGAATGCCAAGATGCTCTACTTTTTTTTCCCCTTTAAGGTTCAGCGATGCTCTGTACTTGTGGTTAAGGTTTAGCCCCTAGATGGGGATAGACCAGCGTGTTTAGCTGCGTGTGCAGTTGTTATGGTTAATTCATTATCTTGTGTCCTCGTTTTTGGGTTCCAGATGCTCCAATGAGAAGGGCTACTTTGCCGTGTCAGAGAAGTGTTCCGACTTCTGTCAAGACGATTTGGCAGATGACGACATCATGCTGCTTGACAACGGCCAAGAGGTAACACCACGCCGTCCCTCCAATGCGTCGCACCACTCCTCCCGAAAACCACGGCCAACCACAAAACCTGATGCGTCGCTTTCATTCCCCGAGACAAACAACACTGTATAGCACTTCACATAATTCAAGCGTGCCTTAAAAACAAGCCACAGTGTGACTGGCCATTCAACACAAACTATAAACCAATCAATGAACCGATAGAGACACGCAGAGAGACTCGTAGAGGTACATTGTAGAGGCCAACCACATGAGTACGATTGTGGCCATGCAAACCAAACTATGGACCACATGGTAAATCTCTCTGTCGTGTGTGATCCCTCATCGCACGAGGAATTGCAAAACTACACAAACTTCTCTCTCACCATTGGAACCTCATTTGCCAGTAGCAACATATGATAATTGTTTTTTTACCCTTTTATTTGGCAACAAAACTGACACCTTTTTTACAAGAAGTCATGTTTGCATTAACCACAATACCTGCAGTCGGAATGCAAACAAAAAACACAACTCTGATAATGTATGCACTGTCCTTGAAGTTGATTGGTCCGCACCCGAGACAGCTTTCCTTAGAACCTAGTCTCACATGGTGTTGCAAGTGACTCTCTAACACAGAGCTCCTTCTGTGTAGGTCTACATGTGGGTGGGCACTCAAACCAGCCAGGTGGAGATCAAGCTAAGCCTGAAGGCCGTTCAGGTAAGAACCACTCCTCTCACAGCCCTTTCTCCTCACCGTAGCTCGGTTGGCTATGGACGGTGCAAAAGAAGTTCAACATTCAGTCAAACCTTGGATTGCGAGCATCATTCGTTCCGGAAACGTATTTGTAATCCAAAGCACTCGTATATCAGTTGTGATCACGTGACGCTCGGCAGACAAAGCGTATACACGTACTACTCGTATTGCAAGACCTCGCTCGTTTATCAAATGAATATTTATTTACAAAAATTTGCTCGTCTTGCAAAACACTCGCAGACCAAGTTACTCGCAATCCAAGGTTTTACTGTATATGCCAAGCTGTGGTGATTTGGTCATAAGCGCCTGATGTCTTCAGATCTCGCAAGATAAGCACGCTTGAGCCAGGATAGTGCTCTGTTGGGTTGACCACCTTGCGCAGCAGGTTTGAATCGTACACGCGGGGCTTGTGTAGTGGGCAGCTTGGCACAATACATTGTGATACTGTACTTCTATGCTTCCACACCACTGTCTCCGGGCTTGCCCTTCACCAGCCCACACTGACCGACATGGTGAAGTATGGTCAAATTACCCCATATCGAAAGGCCCTCATCCCGCAATGAATTGAAAAAGTCCACGCGTACCCACATGTGCTTGGTGGTGGCGGCGGCAGGAGCGGCAATGGAAACTGCGATGTCGCCTCTGCAGGTGTACATCCAGAACATGCGCAGCAAGGACACGAGCCGCCCGCGCAAGCTCAAGCTGGTGCGCAAGGGCAACGAGACGCTGTACTTCACGCGCTGCTTCCACGCGTGGGGGGAGTTCCGCAAGCAGTGCGAGTGAGCGGTGACGCGCCCCCGGGCTCGCTCGCAAAAAAACATCAACTTCGCGGTCGTAGAAAACAAACTAACAAGTATAAAAATGGCCCGGTCGCTCCCTCTCGCCCCTTACATCTGCTCACAACTCTCTTCTTTCCGTTATATGCCTTTTAAAGGTTGATCCATTTATAATTACCCCACTAAAATACTAGGGGAGATGTTGTAGGTAAGGGAAAAAACCTATACAGTAGAACCCTTCTTAACGACCACCCCAGTTAACCACGAATCGCTTAACGACAGGCCTCTAGAGCACAGTGTTCGCTTACCGACTATTTCTCTGTTAACGACGGGCTGTTTTAGTTACAGTAAATATTAATGAATCCATTGATTTACCATGTTTCCTTTAATATGTGTTTATAATGTTAGTATCTTTGTGCATTAATATCCATTGTTTAAATATTATCAAGTCCGTTTTTTGGGTGAAAAAGGGTAACTTTCGATGCTATCGGAAGGAATTAAGCCATTAACGTGTATTTCCTAGACTCGCTTAACGACCACATCACTTAACGACCGGTTTCATAAAACCAATTACCGTCGTTAAGAGGGGTTCTACTGTATTTTAATTCAAGGCCGCATACGTGTCTCGCACCAATCCCAAGACGCTTACCACCTTTCCTTCCTGTTCCCCTGTGAGTCGCGAGGTGACACGGTCCAGTGGTCACACATTCGGGTCCAGCGGTCGCACGTTCGAATCTAGCGGCCGCCCTGGTTAATGATTGGGCACCGGACATTTAGTAGCAAGTGTCAGAGCACGATGGCCTCTTCCGCAAAACCCGACCATGTGAGTTACAGCTCGATCACATTCCTCTACAGTCCACACTGGCAAATTATGAAGAATATAACTGGCAACCGCTTTCAAGGTGTTATTAATTGTAGAAATACTTACAAGCCCTCATGCGTCACAGTGATTGTTAAGGATCCCGTGACATCATTCAATTGCGTGCCGGCGGTCATGGTGCAAATTTGCCAAATTTGAGGAATTCTGCCGCGGATTACTTGGTTGGAGTATACACACGGCACTCACCGACCCCTGCCGTGACAAATTGGCAGGACCTTCTGGAAAAAACGAGTCCTGAGATTCGGTGAAGCCCTCTTGGGTAAACAACCATTTGTTAACATAATAACAGAGCCATCATTTCACAACAGTTCAATCACGCCTTTTGAGAATAAAGTAAAAGGTTGATTACAAATAAGTGGGGCGCTATAAATGGATCGCCCTTGTATATCCCAGCTATCTGTGGATGAGCTACATGTGTGGCGGGCTTCTCTGTAACTCCCACAGCACAATTTAATTGAGGCCACTCATTAGATGCGGGTGATGTTGTGCACTTTTAAATCTAGAATGAAAACTCATTGCGTTCGAACAGTTTTTTGTGTTTTGTTTGTTGTCCTTCCCCCGCACCTCCGATTTGCACGCTTGGCTACGTACGGTGCAAACGGAAGTTTAACATGCAGACATGTTTTACTTATAGATGCAGGAGTTCATTTTCATTGACGCTGAAGTGAAAATGTTATATCTTCATTGAACTCCTTGTGATTCGAAAGCTACGCGCAGCTTTCGTTCAATATGCTCTTGCACCACTGCTCATGCAGTATTGCAGTTGCTTTCTTTAACTTTTGCCGCAAAATGGTACACAATTTATGGACCCTGGAGGGAAGACGGAAGTGAGCCGACCCTTGTCCGAGATCTCATTCAGCTTGGGGCGTTGGGCGGCATGCGAAAGTTGCGACGCGGCTCGCACTCGTGGGGATATTTCACCGTTTTAACTGGAGGCTCCAGCTTTTGCCAGAGGTCTGCAGCGGCACCGCTCGAAACATTCCCAACAAGTCCTTGGCCCGCGTATACTTATACAGCACGATTGTTTACTAGAAATGTCAGTTGCTTTGTGACCGCCATTCATTCCGAAGTACACAATTACAATTGTGCAACTCAGCACGGGTCTCCTTTCCCCAGTTATCCACGGTTTATGATGATCCATCACACGGCAAGGTCAAGAACCTGTTGAACCTTCACCCCTCAGCCTGCCGGTGGCTAAAAAGCATTCTAATGCCCATGAAGGGACATGTCACGCCGTGTCCACTTATCCTCGCCGCCCCCCCTGCTCCCCCACGGATACTGGAGACCTTGGGTGGATCGCTGGAGACAATGGCCACATTGCAGCCAAAATTACTAAAGTCACCAGTGAGAACAAGGATCAGGAGAGCGTGTGGGTAATAGCTACTCCACTAAGGACATATTGGTTAAAGTGCCTCTACGCTCGCGCAGTGCTCATCACTGTTGGCAGCCCCGAGTCAGTGATGGAAATTGCACATTCCTATGACAAGCACCAGTCCTCCCTTGGACAACCAACTACTGTGGACATCTTACAAAGTGCTACTGAATTTACTGACCCCCCTCCCCCACTCGGGAATAGGTTGAATTTGTCTCCCTGATCTATATTTGAAGCCCTCGGCCTTCTGACTGGGCGTAGCGTTTGTGTCCAACGGCTGGCCATGGTGGTCGGAGCCTAAACCACGGTCTCGTTTGAATTCGCACCAGCCTAGGATAAAATATGTTTTGTAATCTTGAGTGAATTGGGATGTATTTTTGTATTCAATTCAAAGTCCTTGTGCTAATCCGATAAAAGTATTGCTTAAATATTTCACGTGAATATGGTGTATATCTTTCGTAAAATGTAATGCCTGAGTTGCGAGCAACGCTGATACGTGGATTATGTGCAGCAGGGTCAAAAATATATTCTCTACAGAATTAGGAGAGGAGAGACTGAACACGCACAGTAGCACTGGGCCCATTGTACGAAGAGAAAGCAACCTTTGACGTCATGAGTCTGGGATCACGGGGAAGTGGTTGGCAGGACGGTCGAGCAGGAGGAGGGAGTTCCAGAGAAGTGAGCACTCGTAACACAGAGGTTGATGGACGGATTTCGAAAAGGCCTCGGTTGCCTGACCAGAGAGCTTGTGGAGGACAACATTAAGACGAGCTCAGAGAGATGGGTGGAGGTGAGCTACGGCGTGTGTGTTACACGTGTTTATATGTTGATTTATGAGAAAATTCGCTAGTTCCACCAGAGTACACATTGCATCGGGGTAGCTGAGTGGAGTCTGCTAGTTCAATCAGAGTACGCGTGTCATATCAGGGTAGCTCAGTGGAGTCTGCTAGTTCCACCAGAGTACACGTGTTGTATCAGGGTAGCTGAGTGGATTCTGCTAGTTCCACCAGAGTACACGTGTTGTATCAGGGTAGCTGAGTGGATTATGCTAGTTCGACCAGAGTACACGTGTTGTATCAGGGTAGCTGAGTGGAGTCCGCTAGTTCAATCAGAGTACACGTGTTTTATCAGGGTAGCTGAGTGGATTCTGCTAGTTCCACCAGAGTACACGTGTTGTATCAGGGTAGCTGAGTGGAGTCTGCTAGTTTCACAAGAATATGCGTATTGTATCGACAGACATCAGTGATTTACGCCCGATTGTTTGCATCTCACTGCATTCGCAGTTTGGCGAGTACATCATCTTCCACTTATGGAGGAAATATATACACCACCTTCCCTGTGTTGTTGTTGGGACGCAGTTGAGAGCGGTCCTCACTGGTTGGGCCAGCAAAGTGAAACCGGGGCTGTACCTTCATCTGTTCTTCGGTCCTGTTCTCGTTTTGGACTCCACCGTTTCCCCACCACGTCTCGCGCCATTGGGTGGCATTGGGGTCCTCTTTGGCCGGCACAAGAGTCGTGGCACGAGCCTACAAATGTAGATCACCATTTAAATCGAACCGTGTGGCTCACTTAATGCACTTTGTGCCATGTGACATTTGTGGCTCAATGGCAGCAGGTTTCATGTCACTTGTAAGCGCGTTGCGGCCTCTGTGCTTTGTGTCTCGTCGCTCTTGACGAGCCACCGACCTGCTGAAGAGCCTCCACTCCACCGGCTTCTCCGTGTCGATAATTACATCACAGGATTTAGAAAGGAACTCGTTATAGCCGTATGTGTTTCCGGTCATGTTCTGATTTGCGCCTTCAATATGGAGCATTAGCAAAGTTGTACTGCGTAGGCATTATAAATGGCATGAGAGTATATCAATTGGAAGTATCAGAAGTTTATTACACTCTTTGGCAGTTGTATAACTCGCTATGGATTATTGATGAAAGTTAATCGTGAAAAAACAGTGCAAGTGTGTTGGCCATCAACACCTGTCAAGTTCCAAGCCACAACAAAGGCACCTTTAGCGCGAGTGTTTTGAAATCATCAATTCACTTATTTTAATTGGCAACCGTATAATTTGCACTATATGCATTCATCACAATTTATAACATGCGCATATTTCGCTAATCGGATGCAATGTTCAATTATTTTCTGACTTTATCAATGATAGAGAAATGGTGAGTTGTGAGTCTGTAGTGGATCAGGGGAAGAGGAGGTAGGAGAAAATGTATCTGTCTTGTCTGCGTAACAACGATACATCAGTGCTAAAGCAGTGAACCCAGAGATGTTTGGTAAATATTGAAAATCGGGGGTCCAAGGACGGTGGCCTGTGCGACACCATACAGGACTGGTTCAATGGTTGGTGTGAAGCCACTTTGCGAGACACATTGGGTTCTGGTTGTTAGAAAGAATTGAAGCAAAATCAGGCTTGAGCCAGAAATTTCCATGAAGGTTTTCATGGCGGTGGAGGAAAATTTGGTGATCGATGGAGTCAAATGCAGCACTTATGTCTAGAAGGACTCGTGTATCATTGAGCCCCCTTGTCAGCCGACTGGAGGTCATTCACTACCCGAACCAATTACATCTCCTTACTGTTGCCCGCCCGGAAGTCCGATTGAAAATGCTTCAGAAGGTCGTCAGATGTCAAATGAGTGTCAATGCGTTGCGCTGCAGCCCGTTCCAAGGACTTTCGCAGAGAGAATGGGAGATGCGGTGAAGGTTTAGAGAGATCACCCGGATCGAAGCCAGATGTGTTTTTATTTTTCTTCGGTGAGAACCTGGACAGGTGAGCCTTGAGCTGCTGCTTGAAGGTGCTTGGATGCTGCTGCGTACATGCAGTGGAAGAGAGAGAGTTCCAAATGCCTGGTGCAGCTACGGAGAAATGCCACTCAGCCAAGACAGTCCTGGTAGTGGGTATAATGAGCAACTTGTTTGGATTTTGGAATATTCGATGTACGCCATAGTACATCGCCACGTTTAAACGACGTGTGTTTTAATGCTATCAAGTCATTTTGAAGAAGAAAAATCTATCTAGGTTTGACATTTTAAGAATCTATATACATTGGCAATGTTCGGAACATTCCTAGATTGTGTTTGTAATAAATAAAAACTATTGAAATGTATGTTTTATTCCACTGTTATATCAAATCTATTGTCGTGCCATTGATCATTCTTTCCCCTTGATTGTTAGTTCACGAAATATTCATTTTTATTCCACATTCTGTTCTTCTTCCCCCAGTCATGTGCCTGAAATGTCGAATCATTTTTTTCAGTCTATAATTCTGTTCCGCATTCCTTCCCGAACCCCTACTTAGAGGTAATGAATGTATGACATGTAAAATGTACTTTTTTTAAAGATCCGTTCTGAGATGTTGAACATTCCTGCATTTTTTGCTATAGAGTACTGCAAGTATACAAGCATTTTTATAAACAGCTTTAATTTGTTGAATGTTGAAAGGGAATGCGGACACAACCAACCTGGTTAATTGTGACCACGTTAAATATTTACGATCGCTAAACTAAAGATGGCCACAGCAATGAAATTGAATGCGAGCCCCAGCCGTTGAAGTCGGCGTCTCCTCGCTCGTCTCTGCTGGCCAGCCCCTTGGCCGGTGGTGGAAGTTCCTATCACTATGACAGGGTCCGATCTATTGATGCGACGATCGATGTTGACCTCTCTCACGCAGAGGGGGGGTCACTTTGTTTTATTCACTCCAGATGGACCGTGGGCCGAGTCCATCCCCTTGGGGCCTAGTGTTTTACCTCGAAGTCTTACAGAGAATGGCCAGAGAGGGGGGGGGGGGTGCGGACGCACAGCTGATGTTTTCATGGCGTTGTTGTGAAACTTTCTCAGACCCAACTGCATTTGTTTTTCTCAAACCCAGTAACAGCAGAGTTGCGCACCCTTTTACTTTGCCGACCTACAGAGAATTTGCACACACGGCTTCAAAGGGAATGGATGTGTTGGTGTTGCAGCCGTCGCGTTCGCAACCGCCACAATCGCCGTCTTGTTAGAATACTGTGGTGTGAAGGCTGCCATTCATGGAATAAGTGAACCGAAAAAGAGATTTATTTTTTATTTGAGCTAGCTGTTTGAATTTCATATCAGTGGTGACCTCTTTCGTACTATGACAGCTGAGTCGGTATTGGTGTCGCAGAGCTGATTTTTTTCCGTTGAAGATTTTCACTTAATGTGGTGGAAATATTAAACACAGATATTTCTTTTTGTTATCAGGCAGCCTTTGTCTACGTTAATGACCTGCTCGGTCATAGCAGAGATATCGGCCTCCACATTTTTGACTTTGATGAATTCCCTACGTTTTTTCTCAGCAATGTATTCCTAATAGTGCTGTTGGAGTGCATACCTACCAAATATTTAATGGACTTGATGACATTTGCCTCCGTGTGTGTGGCTTAATTTGCTCTTCACTGTTGTTTACCGTTGCTTTAGTTTGGCGTGCCTTCGTTGCCTCTGGTATGATATTTCGTTGGGGTAAATATAGTTGCCGTTAATGAGCTGTGCACCCTGGGAGTGTTGCATACAGGATGGGTATTCTGTCCTCGGCTGAAGACAATTACACGTGCATTCTCGAAAGGTTTTCAGAAATAAAAAGAAAGATGTCTGCTCAACAACACTTTATCTGTTTATTGTAATCGTTGTGTTTGTTCTTACGGAGAAGTATTTTGTGTTAAAAGACGACTTTTCTCTGCCAAGGAGTGAAACGCGTCCGAGGGGAATGAAGCGATGAAATCCGTTCAGGTGTCTGGGTGGGTTGTTACACTGCCGTGAGAGATGGCAGCGCCTGGAGGAGGAGGCCTTCATTCAGCAGTGGATAGGTCATGGCCGATGTCCTGATCATGATATTTCGACGTGACTGGAGTGGTATTTTCACATAATCCTCACTGGTCTTGGTGGCCGTGAGCGGGAATTGAACTCGGCTCGCCGGGTTCACAGCACAGCGTAGCGCTAACCCCCACACACACACAGACACGCGCGCACAGAGACGCAGGGAACAAACACAAAAGCTCCCCGTGTAGCCTTCACAGACTGTTGGGGCACGTGCTGTTATCGAGCACCTATGAAGGCCGAAACAGCACGTGCGGGAGTGGGTGGCCAGTACCACACCTTTGTCTCCCGAGTGGCGATGTTCACACACTGCGCCAGGTACTCATTTGCAGCTGAGGCGACCTAGGGGAGGGCCCAGGATCGGTTCAGATAATCACTACTGGTGTTGGCACGTGAGCGGGAATTGAACTCGAGTCTCCAGGTTCGTAGCGCAGCGTGCTAACCGCTACGCCACTGCTCCCCACACAGACAGACACATGTACAGACACACCACACATATGCACACACACAGACACACACACACAGACACACAGACACATGCACAGACACACACAGACACGCACAGACACACCACACATGCACACACAGACACATGCGCACA